TGGGAAAATGTATTGATTCAAATTTGAATTCAAAGTACAGACCCCAAGCTGTTTAGACAAAAAGGATTTTATCTGTCCATCTATTTTCTAACCACTTCTTCCAATTCAGTGTTACGGGGAAGCTAGAGCCTATTAGCAAGCAAGGAGTACACTCTGGATGGGCCGCCAGCCCATGGCGGGGCAGACAGACACAAACAACACAGGCACACTCACACCCACACTCACACCAGGGCCAATTTATGAAGAATCCAATTAACCTACCAGCATATCTTTTGACTGCACCCAGGGGAAACCCACATGAACACAGGGGAACATGCAAACTCCACACAGACAGCACCCCCAGGTCTGGAATTAAACCCCTGACCTCAGCACTGCTAACCACTGTGTCACTGTGTCACCCAAGTAAAAGTCAATATTAAAGTAAATTTAGGGATGACTCCTACGTGGACCAGTGATTGCTTGATCATGACTGCCTGACGGCTCAGTCCTGCTGACATGACAGTACTGCTTCAGTATTGAAGACAAGACTGTGCCAGTAGCCAGTTGTTCCCATAATTAATGGGGATGCCAAGCACTACAGGGAACATGCAGGTTTGAGTTGCCTTGAGTTTTTTTCAGCTAGCGGGGTCCCCTGGGAACACACTGGTCTGAGTCATGTCCCTCTGCACAGTCCACCTTCCCTCCCCCTTAAGCCAATTAACCCACCAGCATGTCTTTGGACTGTGGGGAGCAGCTGGAGGAAACCCACACAAATACGGGGAGATCATCCAAACTCCACACACATAGCATCCCACGTCCAGACCTGAACCCACGGCTTTGAGGCAGTAATGCGAACCACTGTCCCCCCATGCCACCTGCTTGGAAATTGTTGCAAATCCAGACTGGATTTCCTGATTCACCACTTAACTGCTTCCCCTGCAGGAAAACTGGAGGGAATTCCTCCTCCAGTCTGGGAGACATGGTGTCTGGAGGCTGGAGGTCCACGCCCCCTTCCGCAGGTGAGGAGATTCCCGGCATCTTAGAATGAACTTCAAACCCCCGAGAGAGGTGGTGAGGGGAAGGGTGAGGAGGGCAGCTGTGACCCCTCTGTACCCAGACCCTGGCTGAAAAAAATGAGCCCCAAAAATGTCAAAGATTCTTTTGCAGACAAAAATCTCACCTCGGTCGCCTCGGTATTTAACTGGCGTTCTCATGCACTGCCACCCTGAACCTGAATTGGTAGCCGGTACGGATGGTGATCTGCAGTAGCCGCCGGAGACGTGACAGATATGGGGTTAGCTTATGCCGAGCTACTGGGACTGCCGAGCGCAGCACCGCCCTGTGCATGTGGGCGGGCCGGTCGAGGTGCACAATGCGAGGGGCGGCTGTGGCGATGGCGCCCTGTACAAGGTGCTCACTGATTTGTTTCCTCTCTTTCCCAAAAGCCAAACAGAAGCAGAAACAGGTAGGCCTGCTAAACGGTCCTCTCGCACCGAGCATGAGCCAAACAGAGCGCCGACGTTCTCGGGCTGTTTAGAACGCACTGCACTGAACTGAACCGGACCTGTGCTTTTCATAGTCGCCTAGTGAGCTCAGGATCTTAGCAGAATGTGTCCTGAGTCTCCCCAGCCTTCCCTCCTGTGATCCTTGGGGGAGAGCTTGGTTTCTTACGGTTACTATGGCATGTCTTCTCTCCCCCAGCAAGTTTACTGCCATTAATGTCCAACTCTGGTTTGTATTTCTGTGCCCAGCCTGATATCTATTTTTAATTTTGCATGAATGAACTTCAGATCAAACTTGTATTATCCCTCTTTTCATACCGTAGAGGCAGAACAGTTACAGTGCTGACTCACCAACTTCTGAGAGAAGCATGCATGTGCATTCAGAAGTGCTCATAATCCATACTGTCAGGCAGGGAGGCTGCTTCATGTCGAATAGGAGCCGAGAATCAGCCTTGTCCATGTGTAACACTACATCGCTCCACAGATGCCAGGCTAGCACAGCGATCCCAGAATCCACTGGCCTTCCGTTGTGTTTCAGAACAGGCATTTGCTCAGCACCCACTCGATTTATTTCATTTCACAAGGCACCAAAACGAGTAGTCACAGAGGTGTCTGCTTGTCTCTCATTCTCATCATAATAATTCTGCTCATGAAGTCAAAAATAAGCAAGGAAGCTGTGCATTTCTCAATAACTGATTTCTTTTCTATACTAACCAGCAGCTGAGAAAATAAAATGGCTAAACTAG